CCCTGTATAACCCTATTATAGTAGTTTCCATTTTCTTTTCCATTATCCCTATATAGTCCCAATATAAATAGTTTCCAGTTTCTTTTCCATTGACCCCTATATAACCACTACCCTAAACCCTGAACCCTAGACCCTGAACCCTAAACCCTAAACCCTATGTAACCCCTAGGCGTTAGCGGACCAGCACAACTGCGAGTTGGCAACGGTCAGGGAGTTGCACCAGGCCAGGTCACAAATTTTAGGGTTAGGATTGAAGGTTTACCTGGGCCCCCAAAAGTATGTAAAATAATGGCCTTTTGGGCTATATTTAAGGGTTTTGGGCCATTACTTTACCTACTTTTGGGAGTTTAGGTAGGGCTTAGGGTTGAGGAGTTAAAGGTTTAGGGCTTAGGGTTCAGAGTTTAGGCTTTAGAGTTCAGGGTTCGCGGTTTGGGATTCCAGGTTTGGGATTTAGAGCTAAGTTCAAAGGGGTCGGCCTTTAGGTTTTTGGGAGATGCACGAATGGAAAAGCGAACGGAAATTTCCACAGGGCTTAGAGTCTTAGAGTTTGGAATTTCTTCTTTAAAGTCTAGGGCTCAGGGATTATGGTGAGATTGGCGGCTCGAGGTCTGGCGGCTCTAGAGCAGCTTGAGAGATGGTAGTTGTTCGTGGAGTAACGGCACCCAAGTCACAGTTTTCCTTAAATCCTGCGCACCAACCCCCTAGGACTTTGCCCTAAATCCTGAGCCGCCAACCCCCTAACGTGACCTTAAAGCCTAAACCTCAAACCCTAAACCCCCAACCCCTAAACCCTAAGCCCTAAACCCTATACCCCTAAACCGCATAATCTGGTGGGTGGAGAAGTTTAAGTGGCGGTGGAGGCCATTCCAAGGACTTCGGATAGTACACTGAAAGCTCCAATGCCTGTGGATACTTGAGCTCTAAGACACCATCAGGAGGTTTAGGGTTTAGGGCTCAGACCCTTAATAATGGAGAATCAAATGGAAAAGAAAATGGAAAATGAAATGGAAACTGGTTTTTATATAGGGGATTATAAGGGTTATAGTCTACACACCATCAGGAGGTTCCCAAAAAAGTCCATTCCATTCACATTCTGCTTCTATGAAGCTTTAGGCTTTTTGAGGCTCGGACAACTGGGAAGATCAGACTGATAGTGCAGTTCAGTTTCCATACAGGAGGGGGGGGGGGCGCAGGATATAGACACCCAAATATTATAATACGTACTAAAGGTACCAGGTACCTCAAAAAACGGGGACCCCTAATTCTGAGAAGCCCCAAAAGTGGGCAGGTGTACAACGACATGAAGGAGCAAGAGACGATGGTCGTCAAGGCCCCGGGGGCAATGCTAAACCTTAAACCCTAGACCTTAAACCCTAACCCCGGGTTTGGCTTGAGAATGTGGTTGGGGATGGTTTAAGGCTTCACAACACACACGTTTTCGTTTTTGATGGGTGTTTGTTGGACTGGCTTGGATGAAGAAGCAAGTCCGGGAAGGCAGGAAATGCGCAGACCGGTGAAACCTTAAGTTCCCCACCTCCAGGTGTCCAGCGTATCAGAAGTGCATGCTTCGGCTGAACATGTCAAGCATAAATGGCACCCAGGTCATTGTGATCCTTGTACTTTAGGCGGACCCGCCCCCACCCAGTAATAGTGATTCTAAGGGATAGTGATTATATCATGGTCCTCTTATATTCCTGTTATGCCACTATGACATGGTGTGGGGTCCTCCTAGCATATGCTAGAGACATCAGAGTAGAAGATGAAATTCGCAGGACTTCATTGTCATCTTGGACAAGCTTGAAGTTCCTCGCCCGAGCGACAAGGCTGGATGGACGCGCGCTTTTCTCGCAAAAAGACAAATGTTGATTTAAACATGTGCGAAGTTGCAATTGCGCTTCATACCCCCTATGAAGCTGTGGGCCCAAACATGAATTCTGCATCCACCAGACGCTCTAGGATGGCTCGAACCCTTGGCCCAACCTTCTTCTCTTCAAATGAGGGTTTCCCAATATTAAGGTACCCTTTTGGGGGTCCCCATCATAAGGACTATAGTACTTTGGGGTCTGTATTGAGGTCCCCTTATTTTGGGAAACTACCAAACCACTTGCAGCCAAATATCACATGCTGCGGCCATAGAACTAAGACCATCAGCATTTCTACCAGAAATAATTAGTTCTCAAATCGCTTTCCTTGCTTTATCGGTATCTTTTGCTATCTGTCATCACTTCTGATCTTGCACCTATACTACTTCCGACCACCCTTTATTGTTCTTCTTACATACTCTTTATTACGGACCAGAAGCCCTTGTGAAGGGCTACAAGGAGGGTCCTGGTAGACCCTAGACCCTAAACTCTAAATAGTAGTTTCCATTTTCCTTTATATCCGTATATAGCCCCTATATTTCCCTATATTTCCCTATACTAGTTTCCATGTTCTTTTCCTTCATCCCTACATAACCCCAATATAACCCCAGTAGCAAAGCCTAAACCCTAACCCCAAACCCTAAACCAACCGTGAACAGGAGCTGGCAACTCTGCTGGACGTCCCACTCCCCGCAGGGACCTGTCTGAACCCATCACGCAAGATCAATTTCGCAAGGGGCTCGGCTTGTTAGGAGTTTAGGGGTTTAGGGCTTGGGGGTTTAGGATTTAAGGTTCAGGGTGTTCCCCCAAGTCGAGGGTAGCATGCTTGAGGATGTAGTGTTTAGGGCTCAGGCTTGTGGGAGCTCAAGTATCTGTAGAGGGCTTGCTTGGGATGTAGGCCTGGCTGATTCGGAAAGTGAAGCGTGTGCATGTCATTAGTCATGCACCCCAATTTCACGATATGCAGATCTCTGAAAACCGCAGACTTCTGCAGCTTGCTTTGCTGGGAGAGCTTACATCTGTCTCAGGGCCGGAGAATCTCTCCAAGGGCAGAAGGACCAGAAAAATTAAGCAAGGACGACATTAATGCAGCTTGGGAGGTAGGATTTTGCTACAACTCCTTACGCACAACAGCTTTATCCTTTCTGAAGCCCTGAGCCCCTGAACCCCAAACCGCCACAGACTCTAAGGCCCGAAGCTGATCCGCAGCTGGCAGAGTAGAGTTCTCTAGCCGTCTATGGGGTTACCAATTTTATTGGGTTTGGGGTTTCAGATTTTGGGTTTAGGGTTAGGCTTTAAGGTTTAGGGCTAAGGGATTTTTCTAGATTCTTGTATACTTAGAGTATAGGTTACCTCAAATAAACCTCAAAATGATGTTGGTGTGCCTGTGGTACTTTCCCAAAACAAGGGGACTCCAGTATAGACCCAAAGAAATTACAATCCTCAATGTGGGAACCCCAAAGAGGTACACCTTTGTAGGAAACCTCCAAGTAGGCCCTGTAATCCTTTCCCGCCAACTTTAACTCCCTCCCTTATATACATATATATATATATATCTTCCAGTATCATATAATCATATACCACAATCGGGAGTATTTAGTATTAGGGGGGTAGGGAAGTCTAATGTTTAATATTAGCCCTAAACCCTAAACGGGGCTGGGGAAGTTTCCCCTGAGGGGAGGATAAATACTAAAGGCAACATTCCTCCCCGCCATGCTCAAGGTGCAGGCAGGGCATGGTTCGATGGCCTTTGGGGCTTGGCTTTAGGGCACATCCCGAGGAGTTTAGATGAGATTGCTACCTTCATCTACCTTCGTTTCGTCAAATCCGCTGGACCTTTGTGAGCAGGTCCTGACCTAAAGTCCCGTACAGATGATGCTTTCCAATCTGGCGTCTAAACGCTTAGCGGTTTAGGGTTAAGGGCTTAGTCAGGCATAGACCCTAAACCCTAAACGCAGTATGCTGTTTCAACAGCCCCAGGATCATTCTTCATCCGTCCCTCATATGAGCTATACTCTAAACTCCTTAAAGGGGGTTACATGGGGGATTATATATGGGACTACTATAGGGGTTACTAAGGGGGATACTAGGAGTTTAGACAATGGTTCAAATATATCGGGGCTTCCGAACAATGAGTGCCTTTCGTGGAGTAGGGGTCCTCGAATCAGGGATAGTATTTGGGGGTTATGAAGCGGGACCCTTAACTTTGGAAATTCCTATACCAGCCTGAACCCACTGCTACAATGTAGAAGCTGTATAGTCCAAGACCATTCCCTTGTAGTCCTCATGTAACAATAGTAGGATAATGGACTCCCCAAACCCTATTCCAATTCATTATGTGAACTAACGTCTAAACTGCTGACAAGAGGGTTATATAGGGGATTATATGGGTGAGCATTACAGGGCTTATAAAGGGGGATATTCGGAGTTTCGACTATGGCTCATTTAGGCGTCTGTACTACCCATATACCATGCGTCTGCAAGGGCGCCCTGGACGAGCAGCAGGGGAATGGCGACTTTGACGATGTGGACAATGCGGACGTGGTTGGAATCCTAGCAGTGTTCGTTTTCAATGGTGGCTATACTTAGGGTCTCCTGGTTTCGCCGCTTAGTGGTTTAGGGTTTCGGGTTTCTTCTAAGAGTGGAAGGTTTCGAAAATAAGCTTTCTGGTGCTCTGTGGATGACAGAACGGATGCTGCGTACACCCACAGATCATTTTGAAGGAAGTCGACTCCTGATTCGCTTGAAGGTACATATCCTATGCCAAATCTGAAGTCGCCTGCGTAGGTCTCAAACTTGCATGGCCTCCCTTGAGACGCTCATAGAATATCCAGATCGGGTTTAGTAGAGCAGGCCGCAGAGTGGCGAAGAGACCCTAGCCCTAGCCTTGATGACACACAGTATGCGTGCAGGTAAGGCCTTGTGGCTGTGACTGTATGGATAGGGTTTAAGGGCCTCTTACAAACTTGGGGTGCAAGAATAATGACACGCAGCAGCCCCTCAATCCTCTAGAAGATTAATGTTTGAAGTCCGCCCCTTCCATACCTACCAAGCACAAGGGCGTCGTTCCAGTTCACCTCCTGCGCACCTGCTTCTCTAAACATGGGCAAAAGTCTTCCCTACCAAGCACAACCCACATAGTAAACCTAGTTTATCCCCATCATTCGCCTGCTTCTGAAGTCCCGCGGACCCTCCAAGTAGAAGGTAAATCCCGTTCAGGGATTCCTCCTAGAAACAAGCGAATTATAATCTACTGCTGCTAGAGAATTCTCTTGAGTTCTTAGAATATGGAAACCCCGTTATCTACTGTATACTCCTCTTATGGTATGATTTAGTGAAATGCTCCTTAAAAGCAACCCACTCTAGGGTGCCATCCTCGGGTTCTACTTTCTAGCTCCTCCCAGGGGTCCGGCTTCCTTTCTGAGGCATCTGAGCACGCAGAGCAAGCGTGAGCGATGGGGACTCAATTCGCAGAGCCAAAAGAGAGTTTCTCAAAGCCATCCCTGTGGAATGCATAGGCTGGGTTGCGGTTAAGGAACTTAAATCAAGTAGCTGCAATACGGAGACATTATCATTTACGATATGATATAGCCATATCATGGAAACTTAGTGAAAGTTCCTTAGCAGCAACCCAGTAAGGGCTACTGCCCTCATGGGGTCCTTAGACCCCCGCGGTTTCTGTGAACCCCTGGCTAAGCATGGCGCAGCTTGTAGGTAATGTAGGCGCATGAAAGGGGGCTTGCCTGATGAGAATGGAGTTTTGGGGTGTATTACGCTTCAGTTGATCACTTCAGAGTGGAGTCAAAGTGGGAATTTTTCAGGCTGCTACAGTAGCCATACCTCACTAGAACACATTTGAGCTGCTGCAGCTGAAGGCTCAAGTGACGCCTTAGAAGCTAGCGAGAAGCTGGAACCCACAAGATCCATGCGGGTTCAACATGTAGAAGCCTGCTCAGTCAACTTCATGCAAGACAACTTCGCAGATTGTTTTTCAAACGCATGCCGTTGCAGAAACTATAGAATTACATGGGTTTGACCATGCCTCTTATATGAAATGATGGATGACACGCAAAATGCAGAGGAGGGCGCCGGAGAGCCTACCAAGCTGGTGAAACTGGGTTGCTGAGAAGGAACTTAGATTAAGTTACTATATTGGGGAAACCCTATTACTATATATACCCATTATGGTAACTTAATTTAAGTTCCTTAAATCCCTATTTTCCCCCAGTTTCCATTTCATTTTCCATTTTATTTTCCATTTGATTCTCCATTATAGGCCATTATGGTAACCCTAAACCCTAAACCCTAAACCCAGGAAAGAGACCGTGCAGGAGGCCTTTAACAACTATCAGGCTGGGTAGGCCCCTGTAGTGGTCTCCATTTTCTTTTCCATTATCCCAATATAACCCCAATAAAACACAAATATACTATAGTAGCTTCCATTTAACATTTTTCAAAGGGTTTTAGGGGCCAACCCAGCAGGTCGACTGCGTGAACTTCTCGGTGCTAAGCTCTGAGGAGATCTCTCGGTACAGCGAAGTCGAGGTCCTTGGGTTGGCCTTTGGGATACCTAAATGGGGATTGGTCTAAATTCCCTATAATACGGGGTCCTATATTTGGGTTCCCATTATAATACAGGGCCCTATATAAATTTCCCTCATTTTGGGAACAGTAAGTTAGGGAAACTACCAAATAT